GTTAAAGGTCCCTTCCGGTCCTGAAAAAGAGGCAGCAGGGCAGAAGGCTCCTGGCCATGCCTCTGCAACCTGAATCATAGGATCACACTGGTCATCAGGACCAACCCCTCCTTGTACAGATGAGGCCCACAGAGGCTGTGACTCACCTCATAGCTAGTGTCTGAGGTAGGATTAGAACTCAGTTCTTCTTGACTCTAAGTTCAGCACTCTATCCACATTCCTCCAGTTGCCTCATAGCAATGGTGATAGTATGATGAATGCAAGGCTTGAGAAGCCTTTTATGCTAAAGGAAAAGCTAAAGAAACAGTACAGATTTAAGAGTTTATTTCCATGGAGATTGACAGATGTTGTGGAATCAAGGCCATGCAAACTTGGCCACTTACTTTCAAACAGAAACTATTGGTAGAAAGGGAAATTCAGAGGCACCATCCCAAACACGCGAAAAGCCAGCTCATTCCATCAAACTCCAGGCTGTTTCCAAAGACCCTGGAAGAAGTCAAGCCCAAGCTTGGCTATCAGGATTTGATAATAGGAACTGAAGGGCAGGTCCGTGGTCCTCTTTACATCACATTGTCCCCTCCCTGCCAGTGAGAAGCAGGCCTTGACAAGGCATGGCCTTCAAAACGGTACGGGTACTCACGTTCTGAGGATGGAAAAAGTCACTGGGTCCCTCCTCCACCTGTTCTCCCCCTGCTTCACTGCAAATGAGATACCTGACTGACTGTGTGGGCAGCTGCGGCTGCTGCTGGACAGTCACCTCATGGCCTCCTGCCCCACCCTGCCTTCAACTTAACCTGAAACAATTTTATTGGGACCCGCCCAGTATGCACACAAGTCAACATTCCGAGAAGCTTCTCTGGGCTTAGCCTCCTTCACTGCTGACTTGAGTGAGTTTCCAAGGCTCTTAATGCACATGAAATCAACCTGGATTTGGAGCTGACACACACACCTAACTCCTTCATTCTCCTGGATTTAGAAGCAAACGTCAAAGCCAGAGTGAGCCTTTCTGTTCAAATGATTCACTAATGTGGTCACGGACAGTATCTCTCCCCTTCCCCCTAGGGAAGCTAGGTAGTGTAATGGATAAAAGAACTGGGCCTGGAGTCAGGAAGACCTGAGGTTCAAATCCAGCTTCAGACATTTACTGTGTGATTCTGGGCAAGTCACTTGACCTCAGTTTCCTCAACTGTAAAAAGGGGATGACAGCACCTACCTTGCAGGGTTGTTATATGGATCAAATGACATATTTGTGAAGCACTCAGCACAGTACCTGGCACATAGTAGGTGCTATATAAATGTTTATTCCATTTCTCCAGGGAGCTATGCACCTGTTCATACCTTCACTCTAACCTCAGGGCCACCCTGACTCAAATTCACATCTTCCTTGGGTTCCCCACCCAGCAGTATGACTATATTCAGGAATTTTGCACAAATGAAGCCCAGAAATAAGTCATGAAGCACATCCAAATGCTGTCTGGACTGATCCTGAGTGCTGACAAGCTCAGTGATGAGGAATCCAGGAACACTGAAGGATACCAGACCTGCCCTCTTCCCTAATTCAATGCCAGATGATGGCAGGGAGCGAGCAGTTTGAGCAGGCCAATGTTTTAGAAATGTCAGCAATAGTAAATATTAAATACTCAGACCACTACCTAGCACTTTCCTTCTGTGGCCACTTCTTAAAAAATAATTCTAGGAAGCTGGAGGTACAAGGATGTAGAAAAACACACTTCCATTAAATGGGGTCTCTCCCCTCCCCTACGCCCCAGGATCAGATGGCCCTACCCAGCAATCAACTTTCTGTTCTCAGTACTGATACTTTTCCAGCATATTATACTCCTAGGACTGCTAAACCCTGAAAAGATCCTGCTTTTCAGTGACAAGGGCTCAGATAGGGTAGGTATGAACTAGAAAAATGAAGTTGAATTCTCACATACCCCTTAAGCAGACTCCATTCAACAAACAGCAAGTGCCTAATGTGTAATCAGCACTGGCAAAGATGGAAAAAACCCCAGTGAGCCTGCTAATTGCTTGTACCAAAGGGAACGTGCGCTAAAGGGCTTGAGCCTGTGAGAGGAAAGGCGAAGATTTGGCCCAGGAAGGTTTTGACTCAGCAAAGAGCTCCAGCGCCTGCCAGATCTGCTCCCCCAGCAAAGGTAAAGGGTCAGGACTGCAGACGATGGGTCTGATATGAACACTCAGCCCCACCGAGGAAAGAGCTGGGGATCACTCTGCTCTACTTAGCTCAGGCATCCAGCCTGCTCTTAGGATACCCAAAGATGAGATTTGAGGCCATGACCTCTGTACCATGGCCTGCTTTCAGCAGAGAAACGCTCTCTCTAGGACTGTTTCTTGTATCTGTTATTAATCGTGGGTCAAGTGCTGAGAATGCCTTTGAAGGAGTCACTCTTTTCTCTGGTGATCCTAATGGAGCGTCCTGGACAGCGGCATACAAACAGAACTAGGACACCCTATTTATTGTACTGGGGCAGCGCTTATGTCCCAGGATCCCAGATTTAGAGTTAATAAGGACCCTGGAAAGCTATCCCACCCCTCTCCCCCTTATTTTCCAGATACAGAAACCGAGGCGCAGAGAAGTGATTTGCCCAGTATCACACAGGGAGTCAAGGTGGCAGAGACAGGATTCAAAATCCAGGTCTCTTGATTCCAAATCTGGTGTTCATTCCCTTCTAGCATGTTGCCTATGGAGAGATGAAAAAGAAGCCAGTTTACAAGACCAGTTTCCCTTGCTGTACCATTATCTTACTGTCCCTACCCCACAACAAATGGATCTGTAGCAAGGGAGAAGTTTTAGCGGCGCTCTTAGAAAAGAGAGTTAATTATGCTATCCCTATGAACCCCCTGAGATATCCGCTCCAGGTGTAGTTATCGGAGACCTAGAAAGTTCCATTCAACAAGCATTTACATACAGCACCCAATTAATGAGCCCCAGGATTCTGGGTCAGAAGGTCTCCTCACAAGAGTAAGAACACTGCTGTTAGGCACCCTTGATCCTTTGTTCTCTGCCCCTTTGGGCAGAGGGAGTGCTGCATGGGGCCCGCCGAGGGGCACCCATCTGGCCGATGCCTCCCCACAAGCCCCTCTGGTCGATAACAAGGAGCTTGGATGCTACATTGTATCAAAGTCCATTAAATGGAGCTACAAGGGAACACAGTGTTGTTCACTGGCTTTTGTCCTGTGCTCACATAAGACCGTGTACGAGCAGCCACACTGGGGTAAGGAATACGCAAAGACTCTGCCTGCCCCAGGTAACATGTGCCTCTATCTCTTTTGCTGCAAGGCTTTTTAACACCCCATCACAGCATTCACAAAATCTGACAGTTGTCAGTTTGTTGGTGATGTTTGGATTTAGGGCAATTTGGGGGAAGCAGCTTGCTGCAGCTCTGGACAAGTGCAGGATGTCGGTGCCTCTCAAGCCCCAAGAGGGACGTGGGGTATTGCTTAGTTTGCCAGCCGAGGGGCTGAGTCATGGCTACTTTAGAAATTTCTCCATGCTTTCTTGCAAGATTTACCCCAAACAATCGCACCTGCCTCCACACTGAGGTGGTCCGGCCACTATCATTTTGCAGTCCAATTCAGGCTGGGGCAGCTAGAGGGTGCAGTGGACGGAACACCAGGCCTGGTCTGAATTCAAATCCAGCCTCAGATGCTTACTAGCTATGTGACCCTGGGCAATTCACTTCACCCTTATTTGCCTCAGCTCTTCATCTGTAAAATGAGGACACCCTGGAGAAAGAAATGGCAAACCATTCCAGTATTTCTGCCAAGAAAACCCCATGGACAAAGTCTGTGGCGTTACAGAGTTGGACACAACTGAAGGAACAAGCACCAACCCATTGCTAATGGCCAGGAAACACTCCACCAGAAAAACAAATATTCTAACAGACACCCGGACTCCAAATCTGCTACTCAGCGCATTTGAAAAGACCACATTCGATCAAGAGTGTTTAGTGTCACCCAGGTAATCAAATACCAGTCCTATGTAAGACCCTTCTATATAAGACATTTTCACATTAGGAAAGCTAGCACACAGAACAGAAAGAGCCCTTACCTAAGAGAACAAGCCTCAGACCCGTCACTTACTAGTATGTGATCACAGGCAAGACAACTTTGCTGAGCCTCAGTTTCCTTGTCTGTAAAATGGGAATAAAAAATTCTGCCCACCTTAGTGCTGTTGAGAGAATCAAAAGATATATAAAGTGCTCTGGGAACTATAGTACACCACACAAGCTTTATTCATCAACAGTTAAGTGATATAAGAGTACTTATTAAAACAGGCCATTCCCCCCACTCTCAGCTGTTACGGGGAAAATATTTTCTAAACTTTTTAAAGGCTATATAAATTTTTGTTTTGTTTTGTTTTTTTTGGTGAGGCAATTGGGGTTAAGTGACTTGCCCAGGGTCACACAGCTAGTAAGTGTCAAGAGTCCGAGGCCAGATATGAACTCAGGTCCTTCTGACTCCAGGGCTGAAGCTCTATCCATTTGCCACCTAGCTGCCCCAAGGCTATATAAATTTGAGCTATTGCTAATATTATTATTATTATTATTGTTTATTGTGTTTACAAAAGCAAGCAGACCAGAGGTCTCCTCATCTGTTCTCTGCCTGAGTTTTGGACAGTAGGGAAAATCTGCTGCCACCTCGGCTATGGTGTGATGGAATAAGCCTCTGTGTGCCCTTACTAATAATACTTTTCACTTTATTTGCAATGACTCTGGGATGTTTCCAGAAATTGCTCCAAAGCCCCTCAGCCCGCTCTACCAAGCAGTCTTAGAACTTCTTAATCCAGAATCAGTATAGAGTAGGGACTTTTTCAGACTGCACCAAAACTCCACTCCCCCTTCCCAGACACTTCACCCCCTTGTCTGCACAACCAAAGGACAAGTAATAACCACCAGAATGGCAAACATCCAAATCCCATGGTATCATACAGTCATTTATCTTACAAGGTAGCCCAGTGATCAGGCCCTCACTTAGGCTGGGCGGAGATGCTGTGTTTATTATTGTAGTCAAATTATTCTGATTTAATCAATGGAGAAGCTTGATGCCGCTGAGATTCGGCGGAAAAGCAGACTTGATCCCCGGAAAAGCTGACCCTGCAAAGAAAGAACAGTGGGATGGTTGAAAAAAGGAAACCTTACTTCCTCTCTCAAGTGAATCCCAGCTTCAGCTTTGGGGTGGGTTTCAAAAAATAAATAAATATATAAATAAAACACAATCTATCAAAGAACCGGCGTTTTAATGCTGGAAAGAACTTTAGATGTCATTTAGTCCAACCTCGTCAGTCTGCGGATGGGCACAGAAAGAAGTGATTTTCTCAAGATCACTCAGCTAGTCTCCTGATGGCCAGTGCCAGGGCTTTTTCCACTATATGGTACTATGTCCTGGTGCCTTTTAACCAGGTCCTATATAGATCTGGTGAAGGGCAAAGACACTGGGAACGCAGAGAGTCAGACCATAAATGCCCAGGAAGGAGCATCCATCTACATCTAGTTTATCCCGTTATCAAGTTACGGGTTTTAAAATTTTTATTTGATGATGACAATGTGGGGCCACAGGGCTTTGTGAAGGGCTACTGAAAACAGGTTCCCAACAGGAAAATAATCTTTTTTGGTACCAGTAGCCAGGTGATCTGGAACCATGCCCAAGGGAGTTTGTGTTTCATTCAGAATTGGCCAGTATCACCACAGAAAATTAGCATCTTCTCCAGACTCACCTGTAGTGGAACTATAATTGGCATCATTCTCTGAAATGGTTTCATTCTGCTTAACCTACCCTTAGGATATAGTTGCTGATTGACCCTCAAGTTAAAGTTACTGCTCCATTTTATAGTGAAGCAAACAGAGACACAGAAAATGAAAGTGAACTATTCCAAGGTCAGAGTCAGAACATATCCAAGAACAGAACCTATGTCTGTAGGCTCACCAATGTATTGGGTCTCTCAGGGACAAGATGTCTTTGGTCAGTAAGTAGACAGCTAGGCAGAGAACATAAAAATACGAGGATGGCCAGATGAATCAGATCAATGCTTCATCTAGATCCGTATATATAGTGAGATGGGCACAAGAGGATGGCTGAAGGATGACATGGATGATCTGCCTGAATCACCATGAAATATTAAGACTGAGCCCTTACTATAGAAAAGGGGCCTGGAAGCTATTTCCTGTATTAACACAAGTAATGGTATCAGACAAGCCTCAGAACCATAACACAGCCCATAATCAAGTAGCCCATATAGGACCTAGAGGCCTAGTAGGGGGAGCGATTCCCTACAAAAGAGATGGGGGTGGGTAACTTTTTTCACATAACTCCTTTGCTGACATGACGATCCATGAGTGTGGATGCCTAAAATGTCAGCTTTTTTTCAATGTGTTGAATGGTTTCACTGATTTTCTTTTTCTTCTTTCCCTTTTAAAAAATCTTTATTATCTGGGATGGCTTTCTGGGAGGAAGAGAAACAAGGATACTGGGGGAAACTTAAATAATATAAAACCCAAAGTTATCAATAAAATTTTATTTTTAAAACTGGAAAAAAAATGAGCCCTTACTATTTCTAATTTCCCTCAATAACCCATTAAGTTATTGTTCACTGTTCACCTTACTCATATTATTCACAAACTTCCAGGCTTTGATTAAACCACCTGTTTTTCTACATTGAAGGCTATTACTTTTTAAAGTCTGCTCTCATAGAAAAAGAACTTGGTAATGACAAAAGGCATCAATAAAACATTTAAAAAGAGAGAAACCAGGGAGGTCATTTTCCCCAAATACCTGCATGCTCAGATATCTCCAACAATGAATCCAGGACTTGAACACAGGAGAATAGGGAGGGAGGCCTGCCAGCAACCTGCCCAGAAGGAAGATCAAAGGGTCAGAACCAAAAGAAGGCAAAAGGAGGGGGACTGGTGGGCATGGCTGGAATAAAGGTTAAATCAATGGGAATGCCCTGGGAGAGGAGCTCTAGTTCTGTCATCAGTTATTAGTGATCAAAGAACATTTCTATCTGCTTTCTGCTGGGATCCACATCTGGGGTGGGGGAAGGAAGGGAGAAAGTGGGAAAGCTATGAAGCCAACCACAGCTATCTTTAATCAGTGGATAAGGATGGATGTGGTCTTTTGGCTTAGAAAATCAGAGGAGAACCCTTCCAGGACTTCCCAAGCCCCATCTGTTGGGCCACAGAGGCATTCTGGCTCTCAAAGCCCAGCTCCAAGGAAAAGTGAGTAAGAACTCTTCACACATACATACCCACAGTTATTGACAGCCATGAGGTCACCAACCAAGAGGAAAGGGTAGGTCAGCATGCTCACTGCAATCTGAAATCCAGAAAAACCAAAATTCTCCTCAGCATATCCCTACTAATATAAACTGTATTGACAACTACCCTGAGTCTCACCTCCACCCACATCCCAAGTCCCCATATAAAGACTGGTATGCCAAACCCCACCCTAGGCCAACAATGCCACAGAGCTGGCTACATACGTACCCCCATTACAAACTTGGTGTAACTCCGAACTGCCAAGGCCTGGCTGAACTGAAGCAAGAAAAGAGGAGAAAGTCAACTTTCCTATAGGTCTCTGGCTTTCATCTGTCCTAGCCATCTCCTACTTAAACTGTGGCATTCCTTTCCTTCAAAAAATGTCCCAGAAGCAGTTTTAGTTAATCCTCATCGATGTTCCTGAAATGTCAAATTTTCTTTGACTTTCAGCAGATTCCTTCCTAGGGCCTTAAAACTGGCCTCCTTTACTTCATGTTGGAACCAAGACAAGGTATGGGGAGAAAAGTACAGAATAAATTTGGCAGAATAAATTTTTAAAATGCACATAAGGTAGACTTGCTAGAATTATGGAGGCAGGGTAAAGGAATAAAGGGTCAACATAAGTGTGATAATTCTCCAACACCCAGTGAAGGTCTTCTTTGAAGCAAAGGGATCCAAGAAGTTACCCATTTAAGGGTCTGGACTTGAATATCTACTGCCATTCCTCATCCCTGACAAAAAACAATTGCTCACCGAGATCCCTTCGGCCAAGCAGCTCCTAAAACCCACCAAACGGTTTGCCCTGTGCCTGCAGGTTTTACTGACTATCCTTGTTCAGTGGTTTAAATGTATGTCCTTGGTGCATCTTACATTTCAGGCCACAAAGTGCTGATGAATACATGCTTTGGATTATTATGCTGATTTCATACATGACCCAGTTTAGTGGCCAAACTGCAAGTGTTGTAGCCTGAATTCCTATCTCTCCCACTCTTCCTCTCACTCCTTTCTCCCCATCACATACACATTTTCAACCAAAAACTAGAGGAAATTAGAAATCACAAATATTTACTGCATATCAGACATAGCATGAAGTATTTAGTATTGACTCAGTGATGGACCAGATCGCCCACCTTAGCAGACCTGATCAAATCTGAAGTCTCTATGGAACAACTCATCTTGTCTTAAATTCAAGGTCCAACAACTTCCATCCACAAAATTAGGGTGGCTGATCATAGTCTTTTCCTATAGTGTCTCTGGCTACCAAAAAACCCCAACTCGTCCCACTTCTTCCAAGTCCCATTTGACTGGAAAGGAAATCAAACCCCTCCTTTCTCGAGACTCTCCTCCAGAAAACACCTTTTATAAAGGTATAATAAAACCCTTTCACATAAATGAACCAATCTGCCAAATAGCATCAAGCAGGCCAAGTTCTAAAAAGATTTTTTTTTTAGAAAGACATGGAACATCATGTCAATTTAAGGAGCGGGGCAAAGGGAAGTCTCACAAGACAACATGTTCTTTAAACATCATTTTGAATTAATCATGGAAAACTTTTTATCTTAACCACAACAATTACAGAATTATAAAATCCCAGAGCTGGAAGTTACCTTAAGAGGCCCTCTGATCCAGGATGCTCTTTTAAGATAAGCCTCTAAAGGCTGCCTAGATGCATGGGAGTCAAGTCTTTTTGTAAAAATAGATACCTAACACTTAAGGCAACTGAAGTGTATGTTCTTGCTTCAAACTCAAAAGCTTCTCCCTAGGCCTAACATTTATTTGTAAAATCCACTCATAGCAGAGCCATGCAGAATCTCTGATCCCTTAAGAAAGAGGTTTCTACTGCTGAAATGTTTCCTTTATACATGTAAGCAGATGAGTCCCTGTTCTACTTCTCTGGAAACAGACAATTCTAGCCCTTCCTTTATCCTAATCAGAATGACTCACGCTGTCGTCCACCAGGTAGGCGTTGATGAAGTGAGCCAGGAGGTTACAGCCCCACAAGAAGACCACGTCTCCCAGAAGGTGAGGTATCAAGCCCCTAAAAACAAAGTTAAGAACCAGATGTTACATTCAGGTATTATTTTATTTTTTTGGTGAGGCAATTGGGGTTCAATGACTTGCCCAGGGTCACACAGCTATTGAGTGTTACATGTCTGAGGCTCGATTTGAACTCAGGTCCTCCTGACTCCAGGGCCGAGTCTCTATCCACTGTGCCACCTAACTGCCCCCACAGTGTTACATTCTCTACTCAAGCTGCAAGTCCCAACACTGAAGCAATATTCACTGATGAGTTCAAAGGGGCAGGGAAGGCAGAATGCCTGGGTCTTGGCAGTGTGATGTAGAGGAAGAGAATAAAACCTCTGGAGTCAGATGACCTGGGTTCAAATTCTGACTCTACAACTGACTAGCTATATGACTTATAGTGAGCGACCTAAAGGTTACTTTTGAGGGAAAACCCTGTTGGGTCTCAATTTCCTCATCTTCAAAACAAAGGAGTCGGTTTAAATCTGCAAGGTCCCTTCCAATTCCAGTCTATCATTCATGATCTTAGGTGAAAGGTAAGTAAGGAAAAAGCCTTCCTTAGAGCTTCAGTACACCCAAGCTTCGGAGGAAATACGGCCCTGAGTTATAGTTAAAGTAGCTGGTAACGTGGCCAGGGAGCTAAGGCAAATATAGTATCTGATATGTCCAGTGTTTCCCTATTTGTAGAATATATATATGTTCTAAAAATATGTTCACTCCTCTTTCTAAGGTTACAAATTAGCCCATCAAATTAGTTTCCTTTAAATTACATGGGATGTACTCTTCTCAAAACTGAGGTTTTTCAGACTCCTGAGATTGTACTGACCTGAACAGTCTCTCACTGGCAGTTTAATCTAGAATATTTACATGAATGACATTTTTGTACATTCATATGTACAAATGTACATATGTACATTTTTCAATTCACATGAAACAAGTTCCTCAAATATCTTCCCCTTCCAGAATGTTCTGCCTTTGATATCTTACAAATATCAAGAATGCCCCCCAAGGTGGGTTGAATTTTTAAAAAAATCTTATTTAATATTTTATCTTTTCCCCAATTACTTTAAAAAATGATTTTAACATTCTTTTTTCCCCCAAATTCTCTCCCTCCCCCCTCATTGAGAAGGCAAGCAATTTGACATAGGTTATACTTGTGTAGTCATGTGAAACACATTTCCATGTAAGTCATTCTGTGAAAGAAAACACAGACCAAAACCAAAAACCAAAAAACAAAACAAAAAAAAAAAAAGAAAAAAAACCAAGAAAAATGAAGAAAGTAAAGAAAAAGTATCTTTGACCTGCTTTCAGGTTCTACCAGTTCTTTCTCTGGAGATGGACAGCACCTTTCATCAGAAGTCCTATAAAACTGTCTTGGATTACTAAGAAGAGCTAAGTTTTAGTAGATCATCACACAATACTGGGGTTACCGTATACAACGTCCTACTGGTTCTACTCATTTCACTTTGCACCAGTTTATCCAAGTCTTTCCATGTTTTTCTGAAAGCATCCTACTCATTATTTTTCTTTCTTTTTTTAAATTAATTTATTTTGATTTCTCAACAATCACTTCCATATGCTTTTGAGTTTAAAATTTTTCTCCTCCTTCCTCCCCACCCCCCTCCCCAAGACGGAGCACAAACTGATATAGGCTATATATGTATACATTCTTATTAAACATATTTCCACATTACTGATGTTGTAAGTAAAAATTAGAACCAATAGGAGGAACCACCAGAAAGAGGAAACAATACTCAACATAAGAGAAAAAAAATAGCAAATAGTATGCTTCGATCTGCATTCAAATTCCATAGTTCTTTCTTTGGATATGGATAGCATTTTCCTTCATAAGGCCTTTGGAGATGTCTTAGATCCTTGTATTGCTGGGAAGGGTTAAGTTGATCAATATTAGTCATCGCACAAAGTGGCTGTTATTGTGTATAACATTCTCTTGATTCTGCTCACTTCACTCAGCATCAGTCCATACAAGTCTTTCCAGGTTTTTCTGAAGTCAGCCTGTTCATCATTTCTTATAGCACAAACTATTCCATTACTCTTTCTTTTTTTTTTTTTAAAGGCAATTGGAGTTAAGTGACTTGCCCAAGGTCACACAGCTAGTAGGTGTCAAGTGTCTGGTCTGAGACTGGATTTGAACTTAGGTCCTCCTGACTCCAGGGCCAGTGCTCTATCCACTGTGCCACCTAGTTGCCCCCTCCTCATTATTTCTTAAAGCATAATAGTATTTCATCATAATCACATACAACAGCTTGTTTAGCCATTCCCCAATTGATGGACATCTCCTCAATTTTCAGTTCTTTGCCACCACTAAAAGAGATGCTATAAATATTTTTGTACACATAGGTCCTTTTCCTTTTTTTTAATCTCTCTGGGATACAGACCTAGCAGTGGTATTGCTTGGTCAAAGGATATGTGTGGTTTTATAGCCCTTTGGGCATAGTTTCAAATTGCCAGGAGGGCTGAATTTTAACTAATGCTCTTCAAGATGAATTCACCGAGCAAACAATCTCTGTGTGGGAAGCATACTTGCACATGGCCTCCAGGCATAGGGCTCTTAAGGCATGACAGATACTTAGGAGGAATTTGCGTGACGTGTTACAAAATAACCAGTACACCAAATATAGATATGACAAAAAATCCACAAGGTTTTTGGTGGCCTTGATACCTTACACATATCTACTGTTGACCTCACTGCTGGGCCTATTATGAAATAAAAGCAAAATCCTGCTTTGGGGCCCTCTTTAGAGTTTACTGCCTCTAAGCATGCAATAACACTATGACATTTCCAGGATATAGTTAGTTTTGAGATAAATTACCAAATGAACCTAAAGATGTGAAGGTAAACAGAGTGCAGCACAAACAACCCTGGGCTGGAAAGAAAAAAACCTAGAGTGCAAGGCACAGACCAGTCACCAACAGGGTGATCCTGGACAAATCAGTTAACCCCCCTGGAACCCATCTCAAAAATAAAATGGACCCTTCCAGTTCTAATCATTCGCTCATGCCTGTGATACAAAGCCCTCAAAGTTCCATTTCAATCAAAGTACTGATACAGAAGGAAGAAGGAGAATTAAACTCACGTACACAAAGAACCCCAGCAGTCCTTCTTCTTTGAAAATCTTCCCAATGGAGCTCAGTACACTACTGCAGAGAAGACAAAATTATGCATGAGAGAGGTGAACAGAGGACAATCCTCAGTGACCAGGAAGCCCTTCAAGAAGACAACAATACAGACGTATTTTCTTTGTTTGGGAAAACCCTCATGTTCACAGGAATTGGGGAAAGAGGAGGGGGAAGTGAAAATCTCTCTTAGGAGATTGGGAAAGGGTCAATTCCACAAGTCTGCGGGACCTGAATTTCAAAGGCTTTTCTCCCAGCCTTATCTCAGTGCTTTTCCACAGCTAAACAAACTTTCAGTGCAGGAGAGGGTTGGTCACACAGTAGCACTAGAAAGGACCAAGGGAACTGGAGGGGCAGAGCAGGAAGAACGCTGGATTTGGAGTCAGAGGCCCTGGCTTTGAATCCCAGCTGCATTACTGAATACCTCTGTTACTCTGGGAAAGACATTTAACCTCAGCTTCCTCCTATGTAAAATGAAGGGGTTAGACTGGTGGAATCTCTAAATCCTAGAGCCTATAACAAGGAACTGTGTTACATGGAAGGGACCTTCCCAGGAGACAGAGAAGCTGTGGGATGAGAGGTGGGCGATAGCAGCAGTAGAGCACACATAAAATCACGGGCCTGGGGAATGGGGGGATGGTGCTGGAGGCTGGCCAAGCCTCCTACTGCCTCTAAGGCCTCGCAGAACAGGTCGGTCTTTCCAAGTGGCAGAAGCAGTTGTGGTGTCCAGGAAGAGCATCAGGCCCTACCAGAGAGGGAGGACTTGAGCTTTTGCAGCCAGGCTTATGCCTGGCATGGGGCAGGGCAGCAGCTACAATACCATCTTGGGCATAAAAGGCAAAGGAGATACAACAGCAACTTCTGAGACCTAAGGCTATATACTATCAACTGTCCTGACCTGAGTGGAGCATATTCAAAGGCTAGCTGAGACTGGGCAACCTAGGAAAGAGAAAGACAGTGGGAGTCAAATCCCTTGAAACACTGTCCCATTGGGTTTACCTCCCCTTCCTTCCTCCACAGGACACCCTCCCCACCTGTCAGGCCTCTCTACCCTTTCCAAACAAGGATTCGACAAGTTACTCAGAAATATTGGCCAGACCTTTTCCTCCTGGCCTCTCCCATCATTTCCCCTCCTTGAACAAGGCCACCAAGGCCAGGCTCCCAGGGGCCGGCCCAAGACACCACGTCATGGCTTGCTTAAACAGTATGCTGTGTTGAAATGGCAGCCACGCAGCAGCCTGAGTCCAGCACATATGACTCAGAGAAAAAGGGAAGTCTTGAGGAAGGGTACTGGGGAAGTTTTCCACATCAGTGTAAAGAGTTTCTCCAGAGCCAGCCTCATTCCTACATGCAGGGCTTCAGGGAGGAGCAGAGGATGCACAATCATCACTGAACAAAGACTGCGTGTGAGCAGGGACTGTGTCTGTATTACCCACATCACAGTGCCCTGTCCATAGGCTCTATTCAGCAAATGTCTACTCGATGAATTAATGAATGAACAAATGAACCCAGAGCACACGGTGATCGTGACAATATAGGTTGATGAGAAAGCCAAGTTATTAGGAGTTGCCAACAAACTTTAAGACAGCCTGGAAAAAAGTGTGAGAATGAACTTTAGAGGATCTAGCCAAGACTGACCATTAGGTCACACTGGACCTGATGTCATCTTGGGGAGTTGGGTCAACTCTGGAGCCCAGGGAATTATGGACCAGAGTGGACCTCATGCTAGAGCAGAACACTGGGATTCAAAGACGTAAGGGTCTTGTCTTCTCCAGTCCTTAGTAGTCCTGGAAAGACTATCTCAGTTGTCCTCAGGACCAGACCTGAGGCAACCCTGACTGGGAATTTGGAAAAGCACAGACAGGCACCTGAGTATAGAATTCTTTTTTCTCATGTGACTAGACATAACAGTAATACGGCTGATGTTGGAGAAAGAAGCAGTCTGAGTTCTTGCAGACTAGCTGCCAGCACCATTTATCTGGGCAATGGATGGAGATCTTGGGAGACCTTAGATGAGATGGTAAAGAGATCAGACCTAGGCATTCCCACTAGCGAGCTAAACAGCAAACAGATGTTTGCATCAAAGGATACTCAGAATCACCCACCTGTATTTGACCTCCCGCCCCACGAACTGGACCATACAGCGCATCGAGATGACTAAGGGAGGAAAACAGAACTAAATACAAGTAGTCAGGTGTACCAAAGCCCCATACTCACCAATGTCCCTGGTCCCAGTATATCTAATATGGAAATTGGTATGAATCACAGGAAGGGAAGAAAGGAGAAGGTAGTTGTGGAGTGTCAAAACCAGTGGAACTGGAGTCAGAGAATGTGGATTTGAAGCCTGCACCTGCTACTTGCCAGCTGTGTAATTTTGGACAAGTCCCTCCTATGGGCCTTAGTCTCCTTATCTAAAAAATGATGAGCTGAGCATAGTGGATCTCCAAGACTCCTTCTGCCCTCAACCCTGTGGTTTCTATCTGGTATGGAAGAGGCGGCAGGGAGTGTATACAATCCCCAACACACACCCTATCTTCTAGTCAAACTGGGACTACTTGATTCGGAACACGTCCCATGCCTTCCCACTTCTTCAAACTTCAACTTGTGGTGTTTCTTTGTAAGGCATGCCTCACCTGATCCTCCCCACTTCATCTCCACAGGTCCAGACTCTGATCCCAATGTGTTAGTTCTTCAGATCAGATTAACAGAGGACCCGAGTTCAAATTCTAGCTTTGCTCCTTATTCATATTTGGGTGGTCTTGGGCATCTCATTTGGGGCTGGAGTAGTTGATCTCTTTTTTCCTGCTCTATACTTACATCACATGCCAAGATCTCCGTGAACAGGTAGAGATTATCATGGGAGCAGCCAGGATGCTCAGAAGATTTTCTATCTCAATCTAGTGTGAATCAGGTGGAGAAGATACGCTGGAAAAACTTCAATCATGCCTTGGTGGCAAAAGCTATCACTTAAAAATGCTGGATAGACTGGGAAACCAGGAGCCAAACCAATATGGAGAAGTTTCTCGTAGGAAGCAAGGGCTGGAGCAAGTGAACACCCTTTAGTTTATACTAGGAAAAAGTCAACAAGAGGGAGGATGCAGGGAAAGGAGCTAAAGTTTTTCAAAATGCTAAAGGAATTTCTTGTTTTCATTACTTGATACTTCTTTTTCTACAATGGTATTTTATTAACTGTACATTGATATTTGCATAAAGGACTTTGTTGTCAAGTAAAAACAATAATACTATGACCCTTCCTGAGAGGGAACACGACACGGGTGAGCAAACTTCTCTTCACGCCTACCCTGTGCTCTCGTCAGATTGGACTATTTTCAGTTCTGAACATACTCCAAAGTTTTCTCACTTCTGCACAACAGCTTCTGCTGTACCTTTGCCCAGGCTGTTGTCACTGTCATATCACAGGCTGCCCCCCTATCCCTCCATGTCCACTGGGTTAGTTCTGGATCAGATTAACAGAGGAGCTGAGTTCACATCCTGGCTTTACTTATTACTTTGTGAAGTGGGTAAGTTCCTTAACCTCATTAGGACTCAAATTTGTCCCCTAAAATGAAGAGGTTAAATTCTGTACCTCCTAAAACCTAGGATCTAAAAAAGAAAAGAAAAAAAGAAAAGAAAAAGAAATACATCACAAACATAACACCATGGACAAGGTTTGGGCAGAGATGAGATTCTTGGAGACTTTATTCTCTTTGACCAAGAAAAACCCTAATTACCCTATGATAGATGCCTTTCTTTTCACCCTAACAGTGCAGTGCCAAGGGCACTACAGTTCACTAGGAGGTTTCAGGTAACTAATCACCTGGGAATATGAGCGTTTGAACCCACTAACTCTAGCTGACAGGCCAAAGGGAGAGTCCTTACTTGCACCTCCTACTGATCTCTAGGACTTGGACCAAATGGAAACTATTTTAGATTTGATTTCAAATGTACTTTTCCCCAGACTCACCGTGCAGGGGGTGAGAGATTACCCTGGACACACACTGCATCACCATCTCATGGGAAGTCTGGGAAAAAAAGGAGGGAGTTAGGAGCAAAGCTTGGCCTGGGATATAAGACCCCAGGCACTTGGCCATGGTCCATAAGTAGCCTTTATGGGGAAAACAACCAAGAACAGCAGTTCACAGGGTACACTCTAGAAGATATCCCATAAAAAGATACCCTGTAAGAACTCTTCCTCTGCTGTACCTCCAATTTCCTCAACCCAGGATGATGGGATTTGCAACACTAGCTTGAGGAAGAATTCTCAGTTGAGATAATTCAAAGACTAAAGTGAGGTGTGATTTAGAGTCATATACTTATCACTTAAATCAACAAATATTTAGCGTTTACACTGTGCTAGGCACCATGGGAGATTTAAAAAATGAGCAGTACAGTTTCTGAGACAGTAAGTCCTATAGTTTAGAATTCTGAGATTGAACTTTGGGCTGGAGTAACTGTTTCAGTTTCAGTTCAGGAGAAGGTTTCAGTCCCAGGAGAAGGTGGGCCTTGACTGGCTTTTGTTCCTCGCCATTCCTGGTGTGCTATAGGCAGAGAAACATCTGTTTCCTTTAGTTCTCAAAAGAATTCTTCTGTTATCATTTCACTCCTAAACCTTTCTCCTTGGTCTAATTTTCCCCACAAATTTAACCATAAGATTTCTTGAACTTATATAACCTGTTACCAATTCATTCTCTACTATGATTATAGTAGAGACAGCTACTCATTCTCCTTCTGTGCATTATTTCTAGCAAGATCACAGCACCAAATTCTCAAATAACAAAGGCTCAAGGTCATTTTTAATTTATCTCTTTCTTTCAGTCTGCACATCCAGCCTGATGCTGTTATTTCTTCTTCTATATCCATTCCTTTCTCTCAGTCTCTACAGGTAATATGGTAGAGTCATGGTTACAGCACACAAGACAAGGAGTCAGAAAACCTGGGTACTGGTTCTGTTGCTACCACTAGCTACCTGTGTGAGCTGGACAAATCATGAATGAATTCACCTCTCTGGGCCTAAACTTCCTCAAATGTAAAATGAGCTTGGCATAATCTCTAAGCCCTAACATGCTATGATTTCATAATGCTAATCATAGCCATGTCTGACACGGATTATCATAACCTCTTTTACACAAGACTTTAGGCCTTTAGCATCAGGTTTGGTACTAGGTTAATGCTTAATGTTGCTCTCCAAATCAATGGGCTATATGGTCACTTGGTCACACCTCCCTCGTGGACCTGCTAAGGATTTTCATTCTGTGCTTCAAAACTTTTCTAAGACACTTCAGATAATATTACTCATCTCATTTCCTTCTTCACCTCCAACTCTTCATTCAATTACCCTCTTTCTGCCTCTAAGCCTTCTCCTAAATCATGAAGGCTTATACCACTGTATAAGTGGCAGCTTATCATTCAAGTGACTCCTAAAAACTCTCAACCTTCTCCAGAAAAATAAATTCCCCTATCCCATTTCATCCAAGCAGTATTTAGAGCTCATCAATTTGCTCTTTCACCATCCCATAATATATTCTAACCCTTTAGTTCATTACTAATGTTTCTGACTCATTTAGTCCATACCTGAATGGTCATTCTTAGATCCTCAGTTCCCAGAACATAGGGAATGTGTCTAATTGACAACGTAGAGTAGAACATTGTATAAATGCTTGAGGAATACTCTTTAAAATGCTGATAGTTAAACAGATCTCTAGCTCCCAGAATAAAACTGAGGGAGATGGGTTGAAGAGAGAGAAGCTACTGAATAGGTTTTCTCTGGACAGCCCCAAGCAAGTATTTCACTGTGACAGGACATGGAAGTAACCATTGTTCACTATAACTCACCCTTCCTCTCCTTCCCCACCCCCAACAGATGGTGATCAAACCCAACTCAAAGCTCTGATGGCTAGCTCTCCCCTGGCCCAAGTTAATCTTTAAGCAATACTCACCTCTTTCACCACCTTCCTCAGCGATGTCTTCACATCATCCTTGTTGGATACATGTTCTAACTCCTCCAAAGGGAAGGCCTGCAAAAGAGAATGAACAGAGAGGAAATGATCTCCTAAATGCAATCGGACATGGCCACCAGCTTTGCCCCAAGTTCACCTGTTATCTACCCCTTGCTCAATTTTTCTTCTGCAACACCCCTCTGATGAGTCTAAGATGATTCCCTCAGTACAGGGTTATTCCTGAAGTTACCTGGACAAAGTAATCATTTGCTTTCATGGGTCTACAGGAATAATCTGTGGTGGACTAGGAAAAACCAAAATACTCTGAACTAGGCCCTTTGTTGGTCTAACTAAACCACGGAGCACAATGTAATGGAAAAGTGAATGGATTTGGAATCAGTAGGTTTGAATCCAGGTTCTGCTATTTACTAAATATAGGAGGGACCTTGCAGGCAACTTAACCTTTCTAGGCTCTGGCTTACTCATCTATACAATAACGGGGTTGGGAGAAGCCCTCCACACTTCTAAATCTATTAATCCAGAGAATGGTCACTCTTTGTCTTCGTTACTCAACTGTGTAAGGAACACACTATAACTTTTTCAGAAGGGTCTATAGCCAGATAAGAGAATTTGTACCAGGACAATGTCCCCAAAGTCAGGAAGTGATGGTCAAGTGGTTTTAACCAAAGGTACAAAATAGAGTACAGCACTTCACAACACAGCCAGGGCACATTCTGTCCCTAAAGTGAAGTCTTAAGATGGCTTAATACAGATCCACATAGATTAACTGTGTGGCATGATGCAAGAACATGAGGCATGTCTGTGGCCTCACCTTTTTCACGCTGCCCCGGGACAGGGTGGAAAGAGCACTAGACATGAGCCTTGGACTCAGGCCTCGGAACAGTCCCCTCTTCCCATCCACTTGCACGATGTGCCTGGCTGCACAAAAGCAGAGAAGATATATTTCATTCCCATCCCATTTCACAATTAATTTCCACTTCTGGCAACCACAACCTAAATTTGATCAAATTAACTATGTCCTCATAGTATCCCAAAATACCTTGACCTTGGATGAAAAGTAATGAATGTATATTTCAGTGGTGACTTAAAAGAGAGTAGGTACCAAACCAAGAAAAAAAAAATTACATTTTCGTCTGTTTGTTTGGTTTTTGGTGAGGTAATCGGGGTTAAGTGACTTGCCCAGGATGACACAGCTAGTGAGTATGATGTGTCTGAGGCGGGATTTGAACTCAGCTCCTCCTGACTCCAGGGCAAGTGCTCTATCCACTGCACCGCCTACCTGCCCCTATCATCTTTTCTTCTGGATAGTAGAAAGAGCACTGGTTCAAGCCTTGGTTCTGACACCAGCTAGGCTAGGTGACCCTAGGTTACTTCCCCTCTTTGAGACTCAGTTTCTTCATCTGTAACATGAGGATAATACTTGCATTATGTACCTCATAGTACTTTTGTGATGAAAACACTTTGTAAATATAAAAGTACTATATATGAATTATTGTTTTCTGGGTCCTTTTTCTTCTTAAAAAAAATGATCAAAAAAGGTTAAATATTTTCCTCAGTCAACTTTAAAATAAATCATTCCTTTCCAAGTTTCAACTGTAGTGTTTCAGCTCATTAACTCAAACAATGTGAATAAGAAATCCACTTCACTCTGTACAAAACCTTAAGGAGAAAAGCAAAGTTTTTCAAAAGGCAGTGAGAAAGTTCTGGGCAGTGTGGCCTGCCAAGTTGTGAGGGCGATGTCATTTATAACAACTCAGAGAAAGGCCATGCAGAGCAGAGAGGAGAGAACAAGAAAGTATTCTCCTCCAAAGGCGTCTCACTGAATCACTGAAGCCCAGGGAGCCAGCTAACTGGCTCCTGTATTGGATACATCAGGGCTTTAGGGGAGAGAGGGCCCAGCCTTTCAATGCTAGCAGACTGTTTTCAGAAAACTGTAAGCAATTTGTGATGGTAATAAAACCTATCAGTGCACAAGAGTTGGGTTCTTCTGGAGTCTAATTGCTCCAGAAAGGTCTTCCTAAAGAACACTATTTCACTTAATCAAGTTTTTTGTCATTTTAATAAAACTAGAGTCTCATTTAGAAAGCCTGAAAGTCCTCTTGCTTTTAGAAACCAACACATATTTCCCCTTTGTGTCCAGATGCTCGGTTCTCTACAAACATCTGGTGGCTGTGAACATACACTGCATGAACAAAAGAAGAAGATGTAAAGGAGCCAATTGACCTGGCTAGGGAAAGGCTGGAGACTCTTTGTAAAAACTATCCAAGTGTATTTGTTCCAGGCATATACTTTGATACTTGGAAACTAAGACAAAGAAAAAAAGAGGTAAGGGTAAGAGGGGAGGGAGCCTCAGGAAATGGCTACACGGTTAGAGTGCTGTATTAGGGTACTGGGCTTAGAATCCAGAGACCTGGGTTTGAATCTTAATTCAAAACAAAAAGCTTCTTCCCTGAGTCTTTATCTGTAAGATGGGGACAGTCCTCAAGCTACTTATTTCACATGGCTGTCATGTGGAAAGTACTTTGTGAACCTTCCCCGTGGGGCAGGGACTGTTTGCTCATATTTGCATGTCTAGTGCTTCCTTAGCACAGAGTACATAGTATACCGCAAACAGTAAATGCTTAATGTTCCTATTAATATTTATTCTCTCTATTTATCTCTAGCCATAAACCTAGAAAGGTAATCCAGATCTAGATTATTTAAATCTTAAATTTTGTTTAACCTTCTTCATTTGTTACAAGGGAGCATCTCAGGAGGACCAGAGTATTGGGGAGGCAGTCAGTGTCTATCCAGTAATGATTGGTGTAAAAAACAAAAACAAAACAAAACAAAACAAACCACTGGGCCTCTAATGTGGTAGGTTTTCCTAGGTCCATGTAGTGGTAAAAGTAGGAGGAAAAGCTGTTGGTGGTAATAGCTTCCTTGTCCCTCAGAACATCATGGTCAAATTCAAACAGAAACTGACTCTAGTGGGCCACCTATTAACTCAGAAAACCAAATATTAATATCATCTTTGTTGTACTATATTTTTATTTGTTTTGTTACATCTTTCACCTTACATTTTAATTTGGTTCAGGGGCACTCCTGAGCCAGGGGGCTTCATTTGATATCTATGCCTTAAGAAAACATGCATCATGGCATAGTGGAAACAGATAACCACCATAAAAACTTACTGGATAACCCTGGGAAAACCACCTAACCTCTCTCTCTCATCATTAATTCTCTTATCTATGAAATGGGGATAAGAATCCTTATTTCTTCCCATCTCAAAGAGCTGTGGTAAGGGCAAATAATCAAAGGCGAGAGCATATTTTCTGAAGAAAAACAGCAGAAATCCAAGGGAATATCTGTTGGACTATTGTACCTAGAGCTCTTCAAAGACACCTCAATACTGACAACCAGCCAGGTAAGCTTGAAACTGATGGTGCTCCCCAAAGAAAGGGAGTTAACCTCATAAAGGACAAATTCTGCAAATAAGCAACAGCAAATATGAGACAAAGTGCCTGCCCAGTTCAGAGCATGGTAACAGCCTTTCCAGATCCGATAAGCTGCTGAGACAGCAGCCTAGCCACCCTCTGGTTAAACCAACACCAATGGATCCTTAGGAACCAGCTTCTGTGGGAGCCTCTCTGGACCCTAGAAATTTCTTCAATGGGAAAGGGGGCAATTGGGGTAGGGGTCAGGATAGTGGGAAGATTGGGAACACAAGAGCCCAGGAAGTAGGAGAGAAAAGAGGGGTTAGAAGAAAGGTATGTGGGAATGGAGTAAAGAAAAGGAGGCACCAAAACAGACTGGGGCTAGGATTGTACAAGAGAAACCAAAGCCTTGTTTGTGTACAAGCACAGACATCAGGGAGTTATTAGTGAAGCTGGCATGGGTATCTACTACATATCCCTAATACATTGTATTGAGCATGGCTCTGCTACAACCTGAGCTAAGTCTTTTCATTTCCCTGGGCCTTAGTTTGTTCCTTGGACTGGATGATATTTAAGGGCCTTCCCACCTCTGCCATTCTGTGTCTATGATTTTAAGTATTTCTCCTGGCAATGGATTTAACGTGGCTGCTCGTGACATTTCTCAAGTTGCTTTTCCCACTATTTATGACAACAGGAGGTAGAGCAAAGAGTGCTACATTTGGAAGCAGGAAATCTGGATTTAAATCTTACTTCAGACATTTAATAGCTCCCCTTTAATGTAAGCAGGTAAGTCACTTAACTTTTCTAAGCTTCAGTTTTTCCATCTTTAAAATATAAATAAGAGCACTCTCATTCCCTACCACACAGGGTTACCATAAGCAAAGTGCTTTGTAAAACTTAAGAGCTATAGAAATGTGAATGATTATTACTCTTTTCAACATTCTTAGCTGGGAACTCCCCAGACTGTCCAAAGCACCTTCTAGGACCTAGACTGTCATTAAAAAGAAAGCAATGATGAAAGAATTTTTGAATCTCTATTCTTAACACCTAAGCTCTGGTCAAATATAGAGCCCCTTAGGCCACTGTCCCCATCTGGAAGTGGGGAAAGTGGGCAAAAGGTGTCTTAAAGGGCACTCCTTAGTCTCTTTCCAGAGCTATCAGTAGCTAATGGTAATATGAAGAATTTAATTATCCTAGGCCTCTGTTAACACACACATACTAACACACAAACCATTAACATACAAGATTTTCTGTTTTAATGTAATCAAAGTCATCCATTTTGCATTTCGTAATGTTCTCTATCTGTTGTATGGTCATGAATCTTCTGTTCTCCATAAATCTGACAGGTAAACTATTCCTTGCTCTCCCAGTCTGCTTATAGTATCAGCCTTTATATCTAAATCATGAACCCATTTGACTTTATTTTGGTATATGGTGTGAGATTCTGGTCTATGCCTAGTTTCTGCCATATTCTTTTCCAGTTTTCCCTGCAGTTTTTGTCAAATAGTGAGTTCTTATACCAGAAGCTGGGGTCTTTGGGTTTATCAAATAGATTACTATAGTCACTGACTACTTTGTCTTACATACCTAACCCATTCCACTGATCCACCACTCTATTTCTTAGCCAGTACAAAATAGTTTTGATGATTGCTGCTTTATAATACAATTTAAGATCTGGAATGGATAGGCCACTTCCCCTGCATTTCTTTTCATTAGTTCCTTTGATACTCTGGACCTTTTGTTATTCCAAATGAATCGTTATTATTTTTTTCCAGCTCTATAAAATAATTTTTTTTGGTAGTTTGATTGGTATGGCACTGAATAAGTAAATTAGCTTAGGTAGAATTGTCATTTTTATTATATTGGCTCAACCTACCCATGAGCAACTGATGTCTTTCCAATTATTTAGATCTGACTTTATTTGTGTGAAAAGTGTTTTGTAAGTGTGTTCATAGAGTTTCTGGGTTTGTTTCGGGAGGCAGACTCCTAAATATTTTATAATGTCTACACTAATTTTAAATGGAATTTCTCTTTCTATCTCTCGCTGTTGGGTTTTGAAAAGTTTTTGCACAAACACCAGTGCAACCAAGATGAGAAGGAAAGTAGAAAATTGGGAAAGAATTTTTACAACCAGTATCTCTGGTAAGCACCTCATTTCTAAAATATATAGAGAATTAAGCCAAATTTACAAGAATCAATTCCCCAATTGATAAATGGTCAAAGGATATGAACAAGCAGTTCTCAGATGAAGAAATTAAAGCCATCTATAGTCATATGAAAAAATGCTCTAAATCACTATTGATTAGAGAAATCCAAATCAAAACAACTCTGAGGTACCACATCACACCTATCACATTGGCCAACATGACAAAACAGGAAAATGATAAACGTTGAAGATGTGGGAAAATTGGAACACTAATGCATTGTTGGTGGAGTTGTGAAAGATCTAACCATTTTGGAGAGCAGTTTGGAACTATGCCCAAACAGCTATGAAAATGTGCTTTTGACCCAGCAATAGCACTTCTAGGGTTGTATCCCAAAGAGATCATACAAATGGGAAAAGGACCCACATGTATAAAAATATTTCTAGTAGCTCTTTTTGTGGTGACAAAGAATTGGAAATTGAGAGGATGCCCATCAATTGGGGAATGGCTGAACAAGTTGTGGTATATGAATGTAATGGAATACTATTGTGCTATAAGAAATGATGAGCAGGCAGACTTCAGAAAAACCTGGAAAGACTTGTACGGATTGATGCCAAGCAAAGTGAGCAGAACCAGGAGAATGTTGTACACAGTAAAAGCCACATTGTTTGATGACTAACTTTTACAGACCTAGCCCTTCTCAGCAATGCAAGAATCTAAGACATCTCCAAAGGTCTCAGGATAGAAAATGCTATCCACATTCAAAGAAAGAACTATGGAGTTTGAATGCAGATCAAAGCATACTATTTGCTACTTTTTTCCTTCTGTTGTGTTTTGTTTTCTCTTTCTGGTGGTTCCTCCTATTAGTTCTAATTCTTCCTTACAACATCACTAATGTGAAAATATGTTTAATAGGAATGCACATGTATAGCCTATATCAGATTGCGCGCTGTCTTAGAGAGGTAGATGGGGAGGGAGAGAAAGAAAAATTTAAAATTCAAAAGCTTATGGAAGTAATTGTTGATAAATCAAAAGAAATTAATAAAAAAAGGGAAAAAAAAGATTTTCTGTTTTAAGATATTGATTTCCCTCAATCTCCAAGCCTTTTTTTTTTCTTTCCATTTTCCCAGCTGTCTGTACCTGTACCACCACCACTGAAAAAGGACTCTTGTTCCTGCTCCTTCACTCCTCATTTAAGGGCAGGCAGGCCCCCTTAAATAAACAAACAAACAAAAAAAACAATGAGGTAACTTCCCCAAAGGACTACTACTTTTGCCTGGCTCTCCTCTGCTCCCAATACTAATGAGAGAAGGGATGGGGAAAGAATTGATCTGTTCCATTCCCGTAACAGTTAATGTATGAAATGAAAGGAGGTGACAGATGGAGGTCAAAAGATCTAGGGCAAGGAGAGGCAGATGGCCTAAGTTGTTTTTTTGTTTTGTTTTGTTTTGTTTTTTTAAGTAGTGAAGCGTCCTTCAAAGCCATTCTGAACTGACCAAAGGGAAGAGAGGTAGAGTTTTATGAAAAGAATTAGGTGTGAGACAACTGCAGCCTGCACTTAAATTTGGCTATAGGATTGGACAAAAGAAACCATTTTGGGAGAAGTCGCATCCATGTCTCCTGAGGTTCTTTGAATGTTGGGAAATAAAAATGACTATGATTACTAGCAAGAAAGACTGAGGGAGAAAAATGAGAATTTCCAGAGTAGTGCTAAAGGAGCAGCACTCAAGTAGCTACACTGGTGAGCTAGTGTAGGAGATGTTAGAAGGGATCACGGAGAGGCTAACTACCTCATTTTAGGATCACAGAATCCTAAAATGTCAGTTCTAAAAGAGACATTAAAGGTCACCCAGTCTAACACTTTTTATTTTCTAGAGGGTGAAATTCAGAGAAGTGATTCGAGGAAAAAAAGATTATATAGCTAGCTAGTAAAATGGGCTGGAACCTGACCCTCATATTTCCAAATTCAGGGCTCTTTCCACTAAACTACAAGCTGCCTCTTCTGCAGTACAATGAGGTCCAAAAGGACAAGTGATTTGCCTTTACACATAGATAGAACTCTATAGGTTTCAAAGAATTTTAATAGACATTTTAATACATCTCACTTGAGACTCCCAAGTAAGTACAGCACAATGACAGGTCTGAAAGCCAATTTTTTTTTATTTTTGTTTATTCAATTGCTTTTCAATTAACAAGCATTAATTTTCTCTTCTTCTTACTCCCTCTGCCAATGAAAAGGAAGGAAGAGATGAGGCCTGGAGTCAGGAGGACTTGAGTTCAAATTTGACCTCAGACATTTAGTAGTTGTGTGACCCTGGGCAAGTCACTTAACCCTGTTTGCCTCAGTTTCCTCATCTGTAAAATGAACTGGAGAAGGAAATGGCAAACCACTCTAGTGTCTTTGCCAAAAAACCCCAAATGGGTTCATGATAACAACAAAATGATAATTGAGCACTGCCACTAAAAAGTAGTCAGTACTTGCAATCAACACTACACATAAGGGAATGGGGACTCAGCAGCTTCCAGTTCTAGGTGTCTTCCCTCTGTATCTGTTTACTCACAAACCGAGCAGGGCTGAGTACTGGTATGAGTACAAAATCCTTCCTATGAGGAGTTGGAACCAAAGCTGCATTTTCTACCTCCAGCTGTCCAGGCACTATATCACTAGTTTCTTGGTCTTTGGCTACATTCTCCAAATTCCCTTCTCCACCCCTGGCTCAAACCAGTCTGAATGACTGTATTATTCCCCTGATCCACTAGATCAGGCGTGGGGAACCTTTGGCCTCGAGGCCACATGTGGCCTTCCAGGTCCTTGGGGGCAGCCTTTTGACTGAGTCCAAGTTTTACAGAACAATTCCTTTTATGAAGGGGATTTGTTCTGTGAAGTGTGGATTCAGTCACAGGGCCTCACTTGAGGATGTAGAGGGCCACAAGTGGCCTTGAGGCCACAGGGTCCCCACCCCTGCACCAGACTCAGCCAGCAAGCAGTCTGATTTCTCTTCCATCTAAGCTGAGCATAGTTGGGCCTGAGGCCTCTTTCCCAAGCATTTTCCCATGATGGATGTAAAGACCACTCACCATAGGTGAAGAAATTGGGCAAGTAGAAGACTTTCCTCCCCAGCACATTGGTCCCTACAGTGGGAGGCAGTGGTTCATGCCCAACCTTCAGATAAAGAAAACAAGCTGAGGCCATTCATGTTCAACCACGTTTACCCCAGTAGCGATCTCCTAGTATCTCTTTCCCCTTCTAAGTACTAATCATGGCAAGGACCTACAAATTCCCTTGCTCTGTCCCTCCACCCTGGCACCCATCTCCGCCATCCCCTCCATATGCCTTGTACCCATATATAATTTCTCCAGGTAGTAATTTCGCTAGATAATCGAGCTGTTCATCATCCTTTAGTCTCTCAATTAGCCCTGATAGACACATACAAATACCCTAAATGCCAGTTTCTTCATTCCCAATCATATCTATTTCTCATCTATGTCTATTTCCAATCATCTCCTAAATTCCAGTCATGCCTGCTATCAACCATAACCAAATCCCATTCATATCCTCTCCAGCAAGCTCCCAAATCCTAGCTTTGAGACCTTGGATAAATCACTTTACTTCTCCAGACCTATTTGTTCCTCCATAAAATGAAGGGGTTGGACTTCATAATCTTTAAGGGAAGGGGAGGCCCTTCAAACTGTTATTTGATGAGTTGGGTAAAAATCTGAGAATCTCAGTCTGAGGTAACCTCAGAGGTAATCCAGCCTAACCCTAAGTAAAAATTCCTTCTTTAACATACCCAACAAAGAGTCTATTCAGCCTATGCTTGACAATCTCCAATGAAGGAGAACACATGACCTCCCACGGTAGCCCATTCCAATTTTGAATAACCTACTTGCTAGGAAAATTTTCCTTACACTGAGCCTACATCAACCAGCAAGTTCCAGTCATTGCTTCCAGTTCTGCCCTCTGTAGCCAAGTAGAAGAGTCTTCCTTCTCTTCAAATTACTAGAGGGCTAACATGTTGTTCCCCAAATACTCTCTTCTCTAGATTAAATATTCCTCAGTTCCTTTCATCAATATTCATACAGCATGATCTCAAGGCCCTGCACCATCCTGGTTACCTTCCTTTGAACACCCTCTAACTTATCAATGTCCTACCACAGATTAATGTGGTCCCCCAAAATCAACAATAATAGTCCAGATTGGGTTCACCTAAGACAATAAACTAAGCTTCATCTTAACTTTTCTGACCTCCACAACCCATTATCAACTCATAATGAGTTTAAAATCCACTAAAACTCTCAAATCTTTCATATTAGCTGTTGTCTAGTGACACGTCCCCCATCTTATACTTTGTGAAGATGATTTCTTGGATACAAGTATTAGACTTCTCATCATCATCGGCCAACACAATGTTCTAATTTGTCAAGATCTTTAAGTTTTGACACATGTATCTACCTTTTGAATAATTCTTCCTGGTTCTATGATAGCCACAAATCTGATGAGCATGCCATTATTTAATCACTGACTTAAATTGTTAAACTGCACAGAGCCAATCACAAATACCTGCGGCACTTCAAGTGGAAACCTCCTTTCAAGCTAGCATAAAACTACCAATGATGAGTTTTTGTGTCCAGCTACTTAACCAGTTCTGATTCCAACAAGCTGTCTGGTCCACAAGAATAGCATAAGATTATAAAATGTTTTTGCTAAAATCCAGGTACGGCATTTCCCTGATCTACCAGTCTACCAGTCTAGTTGGCCAAAAAAAAAAAAAAAAAAAAGAATTATGTGAGTTTGGAATGATTTTTACTTAATTAAGTCAAGCTGCTTTACCATCTCATTCCTATTTCACTCTCAAATCTTAGTTATAACAAATTCTCAACATACCAAATCTGTCATCCCCATTCCCAATCACCTCTAAATTTCTGCCACACTTATTTCCAATTACCCTCAAATATCAGTTATTCCAATTCCCAAGTCACATTCATTTCAAACTTACTTTCAAATCTGTTAAGCCTAGTTTGAGCCACACCCAAATACGCCACTCTTAAATGTGAATTACTCCCATTCCCAGGCACCAAGTCTGTCTACTCCAACTCTACTCATCCTCCAAACTGAGGTAGTCCCATTAAATCCAAACACAAAGTTGTCTCTCCCATTGCACAGCTCCTTCAAGCTGTCACACAAAATCTCAAATCCAAATGTCATACTCATTTTATCCTTCCCCAAATCTCTAACTCAAAATCTTAGTCACACCTAGATATTATATCCATTCCACAACTCCTCAGATCTCACTCACATCTAAATATCTCACTGCATTACCTAATAACCAGAAATTCAAGCTCAGCAACCTAGGAATATTTGCCCTCATTCATCCACACCCCAAATTTCCTCCTACATTGATCACACATAACTGCACACCCAAATCTTATTTCCATTCCTCAAAAAACATCACTCTAAAATCTAAAACTAGTCACCTCTAGCTCACACCCCAAATCTTTCTACCCCACTCCACATATACCCAAGCTGTCACCTAGAATTTTTGCTCACATCCATTCCACACATACCCAAATCTTAATTGCTGCTGTTACTAGTTACAAAGTGGAAAGAGCTCTGGATTAGAAGCCAACCAATCAATAAGTTTTTATTAAGAGCTCTGTGCTTGGTACTATGTCAGGCACTGAGGATACAATCACAAAGAATGAAAAAAATCCCTACTTGCAAGGAACCTACATTCTAACAGAGGAGATGACAAGGGCATATAAACATATACAACATAAAAAAGTAGTTAGATATGAAATAGTTTGGGAAGGAAGGTACTAGCTGTTGGAAGGATTAGGGAAGCCTTCATGCAGAAGGCAGTGTTTAAACTGTCTGTTTAATAGAGGGACTCCATGAGCATTAGGTACAGTGTAAAGTACAGTATGTGAGGAACAGAGGGAATGCCAGTTTGGCTAGATTAGAAGAGGAGGGGCAGGCACTCTCTCCAAGGAGGGGGAGTAACATCCAATTAGGCTGGAAAGACAGTTTGGAGCTAGGTTGTGAAGGGCATTAAAAACTAAATGAAGGAGTTTATATGTAATATTAGAGGACAAGAGGAACCTACCAGAGTTTATTGAAAAAGGGGCTTAAGGAAAATTATTTTGGCAGCATGTGTAGGATGGATTGGAGGGGGAAAACACTTGAAGCAGGGGTACCTACTAGGAGGCTGATGAAATAACCCAGGCCAGAAGTAAAAAGGGCTTGAATGAAAGTGGTAGCTGTGTGGGTGGAGTGAAGAGATTGAGAAATATTGTGAGGGTAGAACCCACAACAAGTGGCAACTGATTGGATATATGGGGTAAGGAAGTCCAAGATAATCCCAGTGTGACCTTGGGCAAGTCACTAATCTCTGAGTCCCAGCTTCCCCATCTATAAAATGAGGAGGTCTATGATTCCAGAGCACTGGTAATGAAGAGTGCTACTCATCTCTTGAAAGAGAGATGATGGACTCAAGGTGTAGAATGAGGCACACATTTCTAGACACAGCCAATGTGGGAACCGGTTTTACTTGATTTGTCTATTTGTTATAGGAGTTTTGTTTATCTTTCTTTCTTTTTTTTTTTTTAATAGTTAGGGAGCTGGAAGGGAGAAAAAAACCAAATGCTTGCTAATTGAGAAAAATAACAAAATTAACTTCAAAGGAGAGGGCTGGCCTGGATCCCTTCCAGGTCTCAGGGACTTTAGAGTTCCAGATCTGAATTTCTCCTGTTCCTAGATCTACCTGTCACCCAGGAATCTGAGTTTCGTCCCACTATCCCCCAAATCTCACACATGCATCTCACTCCTCTCTCCAGTATCCCTCACCAGCCACAGTCCTCCATTATCACATCCTCTCTCTCACTGGTCCTTTTCCTCCATCCGTAACCCTCCCCCAACACACACCCCTCCTGCTATCTCCTAACCTTAATCTCCCTCTTACTGGTCCTCTCCACACCCCCAAACTCCCTCCACTGCTCTGTCCTTCCCTCTCCCCTCTCGGCTGCCTCCCCCCAGATTCTCCTTCTCCCCCCTGCTCTCTTCCAACGCCCCCCACTCAGGTTTCTCCCCCTAGCCCGACCCTCTCCTCTCCCCTCGGGCTTCCCCTCACTTTCCCTCTTGCGCCCCCCCCCGTGTCCCCGCCCGGGCTCCCCCGTTCCCCCAGCTCCCCCTCCCCTCACCTCCCCTCTTCCCTCCCCCCGTTTCCCCCCAGACCCCGGGGCGCACCTGAATGAGCAGCTTCACATAGAAGAGCGGGTGGCTCAGCGCCGTCACGCCGGCCCCCAACGCCAGGAACAGGGCCTCGGTGGCCGCGGAGCTATCCCCGCTTCCCAGGGCAGCCACGGCCGCCGCCTCCACGCGCCGGGACGAGGACTGGGGCGGCCGCGGGGGGTGCAAGCCCCACACCCCAGCCCCCGGCGGGGCTCCCGCCTCGGCGCCCCCCGCTCCAGGCCCCGCTCCCACCATCCCCCTGCCGCCGCAGCGAAGCCAAGGCGCCACTTCCGGGTCAGAAGCCCCCATGGGGTCCAGGCGCGAGGTCACTCCCTCTCACGTGACGGGGGAACCGTGTTCCCCTCTCCACACCCCCCCCTTCGGGATCCTCGGCTTCTCTGGGAAGGAAGCACGGAGCGGAGCCGGGGCCGGGCCGTACCATTCGATATAGGAAAGGAGGCGTGGCCCGGGGAGGGAGGAGCTGCCAGCACGGGCTGGCCACGCCGGCCTGGGGCTGCGGGTCTGGAGGCTGGGCGTGGGAAGAGGAGCGGGGCTCGAGGGGCTTGAAAACCGGGTTTGGTGGCGAGCTGGCCGGCGTCAGCTTGAGACACTCGGCAGGGCTTCTCCCGCGGCTCCGAGGGGTGGCACTTGCCAGCTATTTGGAAACACAGGCAGCTCCGCATAGCGTAGTAGGAGGGGTTACTGTTAATACCCCGGAGAGCGCTGCCTCTGCAGGACTCTGGAGAGCTCCCCGCTCAAGCGGTGGGAGGCAGCGCGCTGCTCCGGCTGTTGGCATCGCAGCATCGCAGCTGGAACTCTAGCCCTGCCACTCACCGCGTGACCTTGAGCAAGTCACTTAACCTCTCACCGGGCCTCAGCTTCCTTATGTGAAATGAGGAGATTGGACTACATGAGCTCTTCCAGCCCTAAATCTATGAACCTATGAAAGGGCTTAGTAGCTGTGTGACTTTGGTTGGGGCAAATTAAGTCACTTAATCTCTGTGAGCCTCAGTTTCTCTTTATGTAAAATGGACTTAAATGACCTCTGAGGTCCTTTTTTATGTCATTTATTTTTAAAGCTTTTGGGGCAGCTAGGTGGCACAGTGGATAGAGCATCGGCCCTGAAGTCAGGAGGACCTGAGTTCAAATCCGGCCTCAGACCAAACACTTGACGCCTACTAGCTGTGTGACCTTGGGCAAGTCACTTAACCCCGATTGCCTCACTTAAAAAAAACAATTTTTAACATTTGTTTTAAAAACTTTTGAGTTCCAAATTCTCTCCCTTCCCTCCCCACCCCCCACTCCCATTGAGAAGGCAAGCAATTGGATATAGGTTATACATGTGTAGTCAAGCAAAACATATCCCTAATAGTCATGTTGTGAAAGAAAACATAAACAATAAAAAAAAAACTCAAGAAAAATTAAGTTTTTTTAAAAAGTATGTTTCAATCTGTATTCAGACACCATCAGTTCTTTCTCTGGGGATGGATAGCATTTTTCATAATTCCTTAAGAGTTGTCTTGGATTGCTGTATTGCTGAGAATAGCTAAGTCAGTCACAGCTGATCATCTTACAATATTGCTGTTACTTTGTACTCAGTACATTTCACTTTACATCAGCTCATGTAAGTCTTTCCAGGTTTTTCTGGTCTTCTGCTCATCATTTCTTACAGCACAATAGTACTCCATCATAATGACGTATCACAACTTGTTCAGTCCTTTCAATTGATGGGCATCCCCTCAGTTTCTAACTCTTTATTCCCAGAAAAGAGCTGCTATAAATATTTTTGTACATATAAATCCTTTTCCTTTTTGTTTTTTATCTTGTTTGAGATACAGACCTAGTAGTGACATTGCTAGGTCAAAAGGTATGCATGGGTTTATAGCCCTTTGGGCATAGTTCCAAATTGCTCTACAGAATGGTTGAATCAGTTCACAACTCCACCAACAATGCATTAAAGTCTCATTTTTCCCACATCCCCTCCAACATTTGTCACTTACCTGTTCTGTTTTATTAGCCAATCTAATAGGTATGAGGTAGTACATCAGAATTGTTTTAATTTGCATTTCTCCAATCAACAATGAATTAGAGTATTTTTTCATGTAGCTATAAATAACTTTGATTACTTCATCTGAAAACTGATCATGTCTTTTGATCATTTATCAATTGGGAAATATCTCTTATTTTTATAAATTTGCTCAGTTCTCTATATGTTTGAGAAATGAGGCCTTTATCAGAGAAACTTGCTTCAATTTTTTTTTCACAGTTGCTATTGCTACTGGTATTTTCCTCCATCCTATTCCCACCATCCTCAACTTATTCTATTCTTTCTTCTTTCACCATGTCCCTCCTCGAAAGTGTTTTACTTCCATCTACTGATGAGCATGGGAGCTAGACCCCAGAAAGGAAAAACCCTGGACTTCCCCACATGACCAAATCTCTAGAGTTCCCCCTGAGGCTGTAATCCCATCAACTGGCCTTTCATTGTGGCTACAGCCAATCTCCCAATTCTGTTACCCTTAATCTAGCCTAGCCCTCCATTGTTTTACCTCACTTTGGCTCCAGGCCACTTCCCACCCTTAATCCTAGCTAGGCTCCATTCTCCCTTGGCCACATGGTCTAGGTCCCTGACATTCTATTACCTCAAGGCCCCACAGACTACTTGGCCACTCCTAGATCCCTCCCACAGTCTTTCTGTATATAAAGTCCATCTTGGATCCATTAAGGTGCTTAAGATTCCTAAAATCTAATCACTGTTCAGATTCTTATAATCTAGCCAATGGCTTACTAATGTTCAGACTCCTTAAGAATCTGCCCAATATGACAGATGTTCTAATAAACCTTGTCTTTGGCTGAAAGAAGGCTTGGGTCAAATTCTTTTGGGCAGGACTCACATTTTGTGATTTTGGGGTCCCAGCACCCCTAAACCTCAACACTCCCTCCCCCAAACTGCCTTCCCTTCTATCACACATTCCCCCTTCCTGCTTTCCTGTGGGGTAAGCAAGATAGATTTCTATACCCAATTGAGTGTGTATGCTATTCCCTCTTTGAGCTAATTCCAATGAGAGTAAGGTTCATTTACTCCCCCTCACGTCCCTCCTCTTCCACTCCACTGCAAAAGCTTTTTCTTGCCTTTTATGTGAGATAAATTTACCCCATTCTACCTCTCCCTTTCTCTTTCTCCCAGTACATTCCTCTCTCACTCCTTAATTTTATTTGTTAGATATCATCCCTTCATATCACACTTGTGCCTTCTGTCTATATATATTCCCATCAACTATCCTAATAATGAGAAAGATCTCATGAGTTAAAAATATCATCTTCCCATGTAGGAATGTAAACAGTTTAAACCTATTAAGTCCCTTATGATTTCCATTTCCTGTTTACCTTTTTATGTTTCTCTTAAGTCTTGTATTTGAAAGTCAAATTTTCTATTCAGCTCTAGTCTTTTCAACAAGAATGCTTGAAAGTCCTCTATCTCATTGAATAACTATTTTTCCCCTGAAGGATTATACTCAGTTTTGCTAGGTAGGTGATTCTTGGTTGTAATTCTAGCTCCTTTGTCCTCTGGAATATCATATTCCAAGACCTCCAATGCTTTAATGTATAAGCTGCTAAATCTTGTGTTATCCTGACTGTGCCTCCACGATACTTAAATTGTTTCTTTCTGGCTGCTTGCAATATTTTCTCTTTGACCTGGGAACTCTGGAATTTGGCTATAATATTCCTGGAAGTTTTCCTTTTGGGATCTCTTTTAGGAGGTAATTTGCAGATTCTTTCAATTTCTATTTCACCCTCTGGTTCTAGACTATCAGGGCAGTTTTCCTTGATAATTTCTTGAAAGATGATATCTAGGCTTTTTTTTTTTGATCATAGCTTTCAGGTAGTCCAATAATTTTTAAATGATTTCTCCTGGATCTATTTTCCAGATCAGTTATTTTTCCAATGATATATTTCACATTGTCTTCTGTTTTTTTTTTCATTCTTTTGACTTTGTTTTATTGTTTCTTGTGTGAAAGGAATCATGATTTTTATAATAATCAATATATGTGTAATGAATATATTAAAAGGTTAGATTTTTTTCAGAACTGCCTCTCTTGTGAGAGAGCTCACAATGCAGCTTGAACTGATCAATCAAACCTTGACAGGGCTCACAATCACTGGCATCCTTTTGTTTGTATACCTGAAAGTAAAGTGAATCAAAGATTGTAGAACCTGTTTCCATCACAGAACTCTAATCTTGTGATCCACCAAGTAATGATCCCCAAGGAGTGGAGCAATATTGCTCCCCCAAGACTCCAGAATTGTTGTATTGTCTTCCATTTGTGGGTTTGTCATGGGGAAACCACTCTGGCCCTGGAAGCAATTGTTTGTAATCTACCTTCTCACTTGTGATTTATGTATATAATCTCTGTCTTCACTTTAGCAGGGTGGAATTCTGATTAGGAGAATTCCTGATTTGCAAATCTGTTCCTCATAATGAAACTAATTAATTAAACAGCTACCTGATTACTGGCACTTTGTCTCTGGCCTACTGTTTCATCATTCTCAGGTTAGAGACTGGATTAGTAAAATCCTATCAACACTTGATTTCTCATAAAGTCATTAGCTTCCACTTAATCCATTTGAACTTTTAAGGAATTATTTTTGTGAGGAATGCTAACAGTTTGGTTCCCACAGAATTGATAGGAAAACAGGACAGGGGGAGATTAGGTTATTGATTAATTGATTTCTTGGTTTATTGGTTTACACAAATATGTAAACAAGATAAGGGAGTGAATGGGATAATATAGGGTGAAGCCACCTCAGGGGAATGAACTAACCCGGACCTCAGTTACTTTTCATACTTATGACTGTTACGAGACTGCACCCAGATGCCTTGCAGCACATTCTGGCTAAACCGGATGTTCTGGTTGTGCAAAGAGACCACTCCCCTCTAACTTGTTTCGAACTTCCTTCTGTAGAAGTTAGAATTCTGCGAATAGATTGTGCCCCTAATATACCCAGCCAATGGGTTGAGGGGAAGGGGATTAGGGCAGGGACATTGCGGATAGGGTCTATATATTCTGCTTTACAAGACACTCAGACGCACACCCTGGCTGGAGCCATCTTGAGCGAATGCTGGGTGTGTCCTTTCTCAAGAGAAAGCAATAAAACTCCTTTTTGTCTTTCTTTTTTTTTTTTTTAGTGAGGCAATCGAGGTTAGGTGACTTGCCCAAGGTCACACACCTAGCCTTTTTGCCTTTCTTAAGAAAAGTCTCTGATTTGATTATTTTGGGGGTCACAAACACCCCACACATTTTCTTCAATGAGCTTTTGGACCTCCTTTTCCATTTGTCCTAATCTGTTTTTTAAGATGTTTTTTCCCTCCGTATTTTTTTGTGTGTCTCCTTCACCAAGCTGTTGACTTGATTTTTATGATTTTCT